TCAACACCCTCTGTGTGTCTCTGGCAGCGATTCCTAGACTCAGTGTATTCAACACCCTCTGTGTGTCTCTGGCATCGATTCCTAGACTCAGTGTATTCAACACCCTCTGTGTGTCTCTGGCATCAATTCCTAGACTCAGTGTATTCAACACCCTCTGTGTGTCTCTGGCATCGATTCCTAGACTCAGTGTATTCAACACCCTCTGTGTGTCTCTGGCATCGATTCCTAGACTCAGTGTATTCAACACCCTCTGTGTGTCTCTGGCATCGATTCCTAGACTCAGTGTATTCAACACCCTCTGTGTGTCTCTGGCATCGATTCCTAGACTCAGTGTATTCAACACCCTCTGTGTGTCTCTGGCATCAATTCCTAGACTCAGTGTATTCAACACCCTCTGTGTGTCTCTGGCATCGATTCCTAGACTCAGTGTATTCAACACCCTCTGTGTGTCTCTGGCATCAATTCCTAGACTCAGTGTATTCAACACCCTCTGTGTGTCTCTGGCATCGATTCCTGAACATAATGTATATAACAGCAACACTCATATCTTGAGTATGTCAGGCGATTATCGTCCGAATCTACTTTTAGCTATTCGTGAGGAACAGTCACCTGTATTATCAGAGGCTATATATGTACAGGGTGTTTGCGTCTAATGTAGGTCAGGGAAGAGGAAGCACAACACAAATATCCTTGCTCAGCATGAAATAATATTTTATGATTTACCAATCATTGAGCTTACCCTTTATGTCTATGTCCGAGATTGGCACCAGAATGTTTCTTATAAATAATCTATTGTACCCTTGTAAAACATGTTGCTCATTAGGCTCAATTTATTATTTAATATTACAAGCTTAACTAATGTTTATTAGATACACAGTTGGCACCATGTACTGATACCTTTTTCCCATTCGGTATAACGTGTGTGTGGCGCTACTTCGTTCAGCACGTGTAAATTATAGGGCGTGCCCCTAATATTATAAATATAGGAGGTGAATGTTGTCAACATCTATTTTTGGCTGTCAGTGAGAAACAGTCATCTTTACTATCAGAGCATATAAATTTGGTTTGGGTGTCCCGTTTCTTACCATCGCCTAATTGAAAAAGGAAACACAGCAGAAACACGAGTGTTTCCTTGTTCAGAACGACCAACTTCAATGGTGTACTATTTTATGATTGACGGATGATTGAGCTTTCCCCTTATGTCAATGTCCGAGATTGGCAGCAGTTATGGTGTTTGGTTTTACGTTTCAGATAAATAAACGTCCATGCATGGGATGTCTGCCATCAACTTGCATCCCTGTTCTAATACTGGGTAGTGACATTTGTTGTTCATGATTAGCAACATTTGTTCATATTTACATTGAAAGGATATGTTAAGATAATTTATTCTATCGCCATATTATAAAGGGTTCGGAACCCCCGTTTGTCTTGAAGTATGTTGGTTTTAAAAAAGTACTAAATCGGAGTTGGAAGCATAGGTACAGGATAGAGTTGGTATTGTTTATAGAATACAGTGATAAGTGGATAGTGTTTACGAACTGATTCTGTATGTGTCCAATGCTGTTTGCAAATGTTACGAGCAAAGGAATACACACAGGGTAATGATTGTGTGTCAACCGTGCACTGAATTATCGTCTTCGAGATGTTTGGGACTTACTTTGAAATGCATTCTAAGCCACCGATTCACACATTTGAGCTATCAATAAACATGCTGGGAGGCTGTACATGACTACTACTGAATTATCATAATGTATGTGTCATGTGTAACTGTATATTAACGCCTCCGCAAGCTGCCTGATTGTGCATATCTGGCAGGTTTATAGCCGGCGCCCAATTGCAATCTTACTGAGTGACTGGGCCATGGCGCATATGCCAGTTTTCAGAAATAGGTAGAATTGCCGAAAAGGGTAGACGACGAATTCGAATATAACCTGATATAAATTATGCCAACTCATACACGCTTTCTGTAGTGTTATATTTATAGTTATTAAGTTAGATGAGGCAATTTTGCAAGCCATCTGATAACTAGACATTCCCTGGCTTATACTTCCTGCTTCCCTAACACATAGTAGGCACGTCACTACTGTACTCCCAGGGAAAGGGGCTTGACAAATCCTAGTGACCCGGTTGTGTGCACAAGCTGGATTAGCTGGCCTGTACAACAGGCAGTAAATGTCAGTAAAAGGGTCTGGACGGGGTAGAAGTGAGAAGTGAGGAGTGAAGGGTATGACTAGTGCGTGGCTGGCACAGCAGGTGAAGTGTGTAGTGTAGTGGAGGGTGTGGGCGAGGTGTAGGTGAGGTGGATGATTTAAAGCGAAAAATAGTACACTTTTGGAGTGACGTGGCGTTCATTAAATACTGATATGAATGGACACTTCTTTATTACAATTAGGAGCAGCGTTTGTTTAATAACAGTGTTAGAATCTAGATGTTTAGATATTTGAGGGATTGGGATTGTGATTTGGCATGGTGTTAAGGTTTAGATTCCAGAGTTGAGATGGTGAGGTGCGGGGATGTGACAATGGTTGAGCTAGATGTAGAGAGGTACTCACCGGGTCATAGGTGCAGGGTAGAAGTGAGATTAATCATACTTGGGTCACGCAGGCGCGGGGATGTAGAAATTAAGTTTTACTGGCGTGTTGTTGAGTGGGGAGTAGATCTGGGGGTACTGCGTTCTGCAGGAAAGGTGTGATTAAAAGTAGTCAGGTCACGGATTAAACTAGATATCGGGGTTGAGGTATGAAGGGACTGCTTAAATTAGGGATATCAGAGTTTAAGGTGCAGAGGTGACGGTGAAAGTCGAAACGCCAGGCCTTGAGACGGAGTGGTGTGGGTAAAAGTAGGATGGTCGGGGTTAAGCTCGGGGATTGATGTGATAAGTGTGGGGAGTTTTGATCTGGATTGAGGGACCGCACCCTTGTATTTTCATGACACATGTATGCCAAAGTTCCTGGATTTATTCGATGCCTTTTGGGTGGAAATTAAATTGCTACTTGTCCTTTATTGCATTTTATAAGTATTCTTAAAATTCAGGCACTGCACCCAATTTGTTTGGGTGTTATTATTGTTTAAACGCAAATCCGTAACATTGCTTAGGAAAATCGCTTGGGTTTTAAAAAAATCGAAAATCGCTCACTCTGACGACCGCGCTATACTAAGATATGGCTTATGCTATATGTACACTGGGAGAGAATCCTGACGTGTGTTCGTACGACGGTCGGTGTCCCTGACACCAGATTTAAAGACCAGAGTAAGAACCTTATTACATAACAGGTGCACTCACTCCATGTGAGTTCAACCTCATTCTCTAGCTCTGTTTTTTGTTTTGTGTAAATAAATATCTAAACCTAATGGAATAATGATTGTCAATGTGCCTAAATGCAATCGATATGTCAATTTATGTGTTTCTTCCAACATGACGAAGGCGTATGCTACCAAGCCCCTTTTCTGAGAATTAATAGTCGGATCTTCTGTGAGTGAGGCACTACTCCTGCGTCGGCGCGTAATTAAAAAAGGCGAGGATGTGTGGTGCTGATTGGGAAGTTCGGGCGGGAAGATTTGGGTTAGATGTTAGGAGGTAATGGGTAAAAGTGAGATGGTTTGGCCTTGAAGGATTGAGTTGCAGGGTTAGAGATGTTCGTTGATGTGAGGAGGTGATTGGTTGGAGGCACAGAGGTTGATATTGGGAGCTGCTGGTATGAGGTAGGGATGTGTGTGGTTAAGGTGAGGAGGTTGAAGGGAAAAGGTAAGGAGTTGTTGCATGGAGGTACACGTTTGAGACTGAGATGCAAGGTTTGCAAAAGTAGGTGCTCGATTGTGGTTGGGAGTTGAAGGGTTGTGTGGGGAAGGTGAAGGGTTGTGAGGGGGAGTTGAAGGGTTGTGGTGGTGAGATGCAAGGATGTGGTGGGTAGGTAAATATTGTGGTGGGAAGGTACAGGTCTGTGCTCGGAAGGTGCTGGATTGTGGTGGGAGGTGTAGAATTGAGGTGTGGAGATGTGGTGTTGAGTTAAACAGCGTGAGGTTGAGGTGTTGATGCTAGGTTGTGTTTAAGAGTTTTGGGTTCTGAGGAGAAAGTCTGTAAGTCTGAGTCCTGGGTTGAGTATGTGATGTAGGGACTTGGGTGAAGTTGACGGGGCTTGTGGTTGGGAGTAATTTGGTGGAGTTGAGGTGTGCATGGTTGAACTGATGCATGTGTTCGGGAGCTGCAGGTCGTCCGGTTTTAACTTACCATTTCAACGTTTCAACATCGAAACCGAGTGTTCTCACTCTATATTTAAAAGGCCACTGTTAATATGTATATGCGAGCAGGAGAAACGGCACCTGGCGGGTGCAAGGAAACACTCGCGCTGTGACGTCATTAAGAAAGACGTTTGATGTGAACCTACTTCCGAAGAACTCGTCACGTTTGATGACTGTACGGAAATATCTTCTTTTTTTCTTCTCGAGCTCTTTAGTAATGTAATAAAACATTAATTTCAAACAATTCATTATTTTGTAAATAAATTGGAAATGCCACTGAAATTAATTATATGTTATCTTTCACCTGTATTGTTTGTCTCATTTGATACTTGACAATAGGTAGCACATAATTACTTGAAACTTAGTAAATGTACTATTGCAGTTGTTAGAAGATTTTGTTATATTAGTACAATTGACTACTTACACAGGAGCACTACAATAAAGAGATGTTGGTCTTGAGCTTTGAAATATGGATTTCAAGAGCTGACGTAGTAGAAGCCATATATTGAGATTTGAGATGGAGAGGGCCACAGGGAGCAAATTATGTTCAAATTACATTTTATAAGTGTTAATTATCTATGCAGATCGACATATCAAACCATAGTTTTGTGAATGTCAATGTGAACCGTTGTGGGCAAAAATATAAAACAAAATATTTGAAAACATCCTGTATGAAACAGCACACTGTTCATAATTAAACATAGCACAAAGTGTCTTGTACATCTGAGCATTGTTTTTATTGCCCTTTTCAGGCACTGCAGCACCGAATGTACCAGAGTCATGCCGATAATCCTACCTTTTCTGATGATAGTCGGTGAGCATTAAAAGCACTCACTCCCTTGGACATAACAGATTTCAACATATCCCCCTTCTCAACTAATAATATAAACAATATTTTCATGGAAAATGTAAACATTGATGACATAAACCTAAATTACCAAGCGATACAGATTGATGCAATTCAATAAAAGCAACAACACCATTTCAGTAAGTGCCCATCAAAAGATAAGAATATGTTCTAAAGCACAATTGCGATAATTTTGGATGTACGCGAAAGGATGAAACAAATCCAAAATCATATCAATTATTTACCAAAAAAATAAACTCACGGTACTATTTAAAGTAGGTAATTGGTTATATGACGATTATTGAATTATATCCGATTATCAATATACCTGCATGTTCAGATAGCAGTTGTTTTTTCTCAAGCTGTGATGATAGAGATGCAACTATGTATACGGTTACCATTTTAAAATATCAAGAAACAAAGTTATAAGTTTTGCTTTTATTTTAACCTTTCAGTATTCGAATCACACGGCCAGGAAAGTTGTGAATGGGGGAAGTATGGTGAAAACTGCAAGAATGATTGCTCTCTGAACTGTTTCACCAACCCAGACAGAAACCTCAAACACTGCCACAAGGAGACAGGGAGATGTTCTGAGGGGTGTGTGCCGGGGTGGTTCGATGACCTTTGTGATAAAGCTTGCAGCAAGAACTGTAAGGGGGGCGCCTGTAATTACCAAAATGGCATCTGCACGAACGGTTGTAGTGGAGATTACAAAGGGCAGTTTTGCAACGTTGCTCAAGGTTTGAAAACAAGCTGATTCCTATCTGAAATAGTTAAGGCAGCTGTCCATCACAAGGTTCCCTATTTGGGCTGAAAACATAAAACATCTTAGCAGAAGAAATTCTCATTAATTTTATACAAAAACAAAATCGACAGGCATACTATTCATAACTGCTCTATCTGAAGACATATAACCCATTGAACTTTGAATAAAGGGATATATGAATGCTACTAAATCAGGCAATTAATACCAACAAACATACACACAACGTTACTGATTTGTTAGATCTTCAATCCAAGAAGATTTGTATTAGAATTAGTCTTCAGCAACCCATGCCTGTCTGAAGAGCCGACAAACGTATCAGATGATCATGGTCGATGACTTCGTTGATGAATTGGGCGTTGGGATAGCCTCGTGGTTAAAGCGTTCGAATACCAGAGTTCGATTCCCTGCATGGGTACAATGTGTTAATCCCATTACTTGTGTCCCCCGCCGTGATATTGCTGGAATATTGCTAAAAGCGGCATAAAACCATACTCACTCACTCACTCAATGAATGACATTCTCCGTTATAGGATAGATCAATATTCATTTTGTTTTTGCCTGGTTCACGATTCTGTACAGACCATCGTCATATAGCTTGAAAATTGCTCATTGCGGCATTGAGAACAAACAAACAAATATCAGATGTTATCTTAGGAATGTGATATGAACAAATGAAGTTTTGTCTATATTATTACTCGAATTTATTACCATTGTTTATTTATATTACATTTCACATGTTATTATCGGAAAGGAAACTGATCAGATAATGTTTGACTTTTATCAACCAAATATAAGAGGGCAATGCCCTCACAAACACCAAATATAACGCTTCATAAAATTTGCCTGTATCACCATGCCCATGTGCTATTATTTCATATATATATATATATATATATATATATATATATATATATGAGGTAAATGTTCACTCGGTGTACATATAATATATAATAAAATGATAAAGTCCACGTTAGTCAATCATCTTCTTTATATCAGTTTCAAACATAGTACTTTTGCTGTCTCATGCCAGATCTTCTGTGTAACTCAGTGTTACACTGAAGAGCTGTCATGTATCATTGTAGCGTAGTGTTTTTAATATAAGTGCATACTTATAACGCTGAATACATCTGTGTCTGACAGGCACGTCGGCGACACCACCCAGGGAATACAGCACATGTGAGTACACTATATAAACTAAGACTCATATGGGTTAAAATAATGTTAAGAATCATATGTGCTTGTTATTGCTGATTTTGTGCATCTGATATGAGTGACTGTTTTTTTGTCACAGACACATCGTCGGCAGCACCGAGTGAATCCAACACAGAGACAACACCGGACCTGGCTGCGATACTTGTCCCTGTGTTCCTCATCCTGGTTGTTGTCCTCGCTGTGGTGGTGTTTCTACTGTAAGTGTGTACCTGACTCCAGCAGTTTGAGTTTAAGATTATTACCATATGTATGTATTAAGCATGTTATTAACAAAATCATTGTTGTGAACTGACTGGTGATGTCTGAATCTATTTGTATCAACAGTTTGCACTCAATATATCACCGTCTCATAGTCTCGCGGTAGAACGCCCGCCAGGAGAGCGGAAGGTCCCGGGTTCCATTCCCTGTCACGTCATACCAAATGCGTTAAACGATGGTATTGGTGTTACCCTGCTTGGCGCTTGACATTAAGGGGCGAAATTAAGGACTGTCCGGCTCGGAGTCAGTTTACTGTGTCTGATTTTGATACTTAAGTTGGCTTGCACTGTCGCTGTATAAGTGCAATAATCTTGAACGCGACTTCACATCACCTCACTTAATACACGGTTTACACCATGTTGGTTGCTTTAAGAGTTGTACAATCTTTGGTTCATTTTAAGGAGGTGAAATGAGCTGATTTATTTGGCCGCAAAATGACAACGTTTACATTTTACAGTTTACAATTTCCTCAATAACCAACCATTGTTGTGTGCGTATTTTCAGAGTTATTTACAAACGAAAACGGAACAGGAGAGAAACCATAGGGATTATTGATGCAGTGACAGGGATACTTCCATGCTGGAGAACAACTGCAAGGTAATACAGACATATAATCTGAAGCAGAACGTCTTCATCATCACCATCACTCACATCTATGTACAGAATATGATACATCAAGACACAAAGAAGTTCACATATGAAATGGCAATCCCCTGATTTCTAAAACTAACTAAAACTAATTCGGACATGGTGATTCATACATTTGTCATGATCTCGATTTTGTTTATTTCATGTACAGTGCTGGAGAAGATAGTGAGTATACACTTCATTTTACTTATTAATTCTACTAAAGGTGACAGTATATTTTTATTTGGTTCGTATAACCGCGTTAATCTTTGGACAAACATTAAAAGTAACTGTGATAGAAGAAACTAAAACATAATTATGTTTGTTGGATTGATTAATTTCATCCCAGTAAGGGAATATAAATATGTAGCATACACCTCGTTACTACTTCATTCCACTACAATTGTCAGTGTATTATTATTGAGTTTGTATCAACGCGATTTTGTTTGAAAACATTCAAAAGTAATTGTGATACAATAATCTTATAAAAAAAAAAATTATGATTGTAGGATTGATTATTTGTTATCTTAGACAGGGGTTATGAATATTAAGCATTCCCCATCAATTGCGTAATTTTGCTACCTTAAGCAGCATTTGTCAGAAACAGCGCGCCAGAACAGCACATCTTCAGTAGCTGAAACTGTTTCATAGTAATGGGTTATGGGTTGTTATGCATTTTTTAGTGTTGCATGTGACGTCTTTTTTCTCATTTGGAAAAAAAACACTGTTCTTGGTATTATATACTGACATATGCAGCTACGTTATACAATAAACATTATCATTGCAACACTTGGTATATGTTTCCCTTGAACAAGGTTAAAAAAGTGTTAAGCATGTTTACATTGGTTTTATTGCTGTTTTTCCGTTTGTTCTTTGAATACTAGAGACATAACATGCTATCGTTGTTACATGGATATTGAAATGCAGATTAGAAAATCCAGTGTGGGTTAAATATACTTCATCTAAAGACGATGTCTGATTTTTTAGAACTTCTCATGGCAGAGGAAGGAGACGCCAGTGAGTATAGGTTACATATAATTGTCTATGTGTTGATGAATGAATGTTGTCACAGGAATTGATAGAAGTGAATGTTTTAATTTATCCGTATAACGTGTAATCTGCACCTTATATCATGGTGGATATGGTGATTTTATAATGTTAGCCAAGTGTCTTCTTAATCAATATTTAATATGTTCACTGGTGATGCAATCACATTAACCTTTGAGGGGGATATGTGCAGAGCATATGTTTTGTAATATGTGACTGTCAGTCAAATACACTGAACTCTAATTGGTACCTTACGATATGTTGATCAGTTAATATTATATTCGTTTATAAGTTCACATTGCCTTAAGCGATGTGGTAATAGGCATATAAAACATTATTGTCTCAATGTACATCTTTTTTACAAATTAGCCTTCACCATATCATCGTTCAGTGAAGTTTGAACTGGTAATCTGCATAAGTACTACATTGCATTTCAGGTGTAGAAACACATTCATGTAATTTCTTTTCTTTTCGTTTCTAACCAGCATCGAAGAAACATACTGATTCCACCTGCAATTTTGTATTCTTGGAAGATACAGACTTTTCGCCTGGTAAGAACTAACTAACCTCAATACTTATCATTAGAAGTATTGTTCGGGTGCGTTCTTTATGGCATGCATATGCATGTGTACGTACAAGTGAGTCGTCCGGTAAATCAGTGATGTTGTTGATATAAACATTGTCTATATATGGGTGTGTGGTGACATATATAAGCGTCGCGTACCAGGTATTGTGTCTTCAGCAACCCATGCTTGCCCTAAAAGGTGACTATGCATGTCGACTTACATTTTGTAGCAAATGTTTAGATCAATGTTCATGATGTCAATCCATGAATTGTCTCTGCATAGTGTATATAATACTAACTGGTGCACAAATGGACCTCTTAAACTATGACTGTACAATATATGTTCATCAAATTCAGATATTAGAACCTAACACGTTGAATTGGCGATGCTGAATTTCTTTGTTTTCACTTGTTTAAACATGTTTATGAACTTTTACAGGTTCACTAGAACAGAAGATAAAGGATGTCCAAAGGGTGTTTGTTAAAACTGAGAGCTTTAAGGAGGCGGGAGTAAAGTTGGAGATCTATGGCCATGTGACAATAAGTGGTGCCCCAGGATCTGGTAAAACATCCATGGCTCTGATGCTTGGAGCTGAATGTAGGAGGCAGGGGTATAAGCTGGTACTGGTTGAAGATGCTTATAAAGTACAGTTGTCTGATTACCTGGATAAAGGCAAACACGTGTGTGTCATATTTGATGACGTCTTTAAGACAGTCAGATCATATGTGGATCTGTCTGGTCTTAAGCACTTTTTGTACGACCTCCGTTTGCATCTTGAACAGTGCGAGTTCAGATCAGAAAGAAGATACCAGCGTCTGCAGCAAGAAACAAGAGAGGAACAGGGAAAGCTGAATCAACCAAACATCTGTGTTATATTCACTGCAGAAACAAACACTCTTGAGCGTGCAATAGCGAAGCTAGGAGGTCAACGTATTTTCAAAAGTTCATCAGATGTCAAACTGACTTGTTCACAGGAGGAGAAGAAAGCATTGTGGCAGAAGTACAAACATCACTATGGGTGTAAAGTTAATCTGAACAATGTTTTTGCTTCTACGAAAACGACTGTCGGTTTTCCTCTAGAATGCAAACTTTTCTCCAGTTGTTTTGGCTTTCAAATGCACCATGACAGTTTTTTCAAGAAACCTATATTTTACATCAAAAATCACCTTCGTACGATTATTAGCTCATTGGATGACAAGTCAGCTGCCCTCATCCTGATCGTACTGTGTGAAGGAAAGATAATCATCAGTCAACTGGAGACTGAATGTTCCATCCCAGACAGTCAACTGAAGACTGAAGATACCCGCCCAGGGAGTCAACTGGATAGGGAAGGTGCCCGCCCAATCAGTCAACTAAAGACAATAGGTGTCAGTCCTGACAGTCACCTTGCATCTAAAGGTGCCAGCCCAGACAGTGAACTGGAGAGTAAAGGTGGCAGTCCAGACAGTCAACTTGAATCTGAAGGTGCCCGCCAGGACCTAGAGGCCCACCTCCAGGCAGTTGCAACTCTTGTGAAGACATCAACCAGACAGGGTGTAGCTAAGGCTGTCCGGAGCTTATGTGGTACATTGTTGACAGAAGGAAACATAACAGCATTTTCCCATTCGATCATTTATGATGTCTGTGCGTTGGTCTTATTTAATATTGAACCACACTTTATTCTTAAACATTGCAGTATAAAGTTCCTCCTCGAGCACGTACAGGATCAGGGAGACGACGGTATTTATGTCAATGAACACCAGCTCAGCATTCCCTTCTCAGAGGCCTTCAGTGGAATAATTGCTAACAGAATGGCAGATGCTATTGTCGGTGGTGCTTTCAGTATGAACACATGGCATCCCATATGGAAACGAAGAGAAATATTTGACAAGTTAAATCATATGTTCACAGATCCAACTTCCTTGTCTGATGATGTGAAGCATAACATTCTCAAGTATGCCTGTTTCACTGGGAACAAGAATATCCTGGAGCGACTTGTTCCTCACTGTGACATCAATAGACCTGGGTTTAACGGCTGGACACCAATGATGTATGCAGTTGTCTCTGGACAGATGGAATGTTTTGACATCCTTGTGGAAAAAAAAGCTGACATCACTTTATGTGACACTAAGAACTATAACTTGCTGCATTTGGCCTGTCAACATGGACATAAGTCCACCGTAAAGCATGTAGAAAAAGTGCTCGAGAAACATCTTTCTCCTGATTTGTATCTCAGTAAATATATGAATGAACGAGGAGTAAATGGCTGGACACCCGTCATGTGTTCAGTGGCATTTGGGAAGGAGGATATCTTAGATTATCTTACCCAAAAAGGGGAGATATTTGAAAGGAAACCACAAAACAGAGTTGAAAACAAATTATCAGATATCCACAAAAATGATGTGCTTCATCTTGCATGTTGGTTTGGAAACAAGTCCATGGTAGACAGTCTGCTCCCCCACACAGATATCAATGCACGTGGCAACAATGGACAGACACCGGTTATGTGTGCACTATTGTCTGGGAGGAAGGATATTTTCGACCTTCTCGTTTCAAAAAAGGCTAACCTCACATTGACCGATAATGACAACAACAGTCTTCTTCATGTTGCTTCTCGCATTGATGATATATCTCTGTTACCGTCAATAGTGCCAAAGCTTGACATCAATAGTCGGGGAAAACACGGATGGACACCGCTGATGAGGGCAGCTGTACATGGAAATA